ATCATTGAGATAGGTGGTCAGAGTCGTAGCCATCCCCCAGTGCCTGCAGGCTTGCCCTAATCAACTTCTTGAGCCTTCTCTTCTATGACTCAGGGAGGCCTGGGAGACTTCAGCTTTTCTATAAACAAGAGGCAGGGTCTTGGGGAGGGGAAGCGGCACAGGGTCCTGCTCCCTTTCATAATGAGTGGTGTGATAGGTACATACAAGGAGCTGTGTGAGGGAGCGAGTTGTTCTAGGTTGAGGATGCCAAACATTTCCCATTCTGGGCCTAACAAATAGTTTGTTGTCAAACTCCATGAATGGAAGATGAGAGTGAAAATTTAGTCAGAAGTGATATAATAAATTGCCTCATAAACCATACTTTAGACTTTATCCAAATCATGCTTTGGACTTTATCTTATAAGGCAGCAGGAAGCTATTGGAGAGTTTTAAGCAGGTGCAAATGTGTCATATGGACATAGAGAGATGGCTCTAATAGAGGTGTGGGCTGAGTGTGGAGATATGATGAGGGCCATAATCGATGCATTTACTTTTCATAATGATAGAGTGGAAGACAGGGCTGAGATTGAGGCCCTGTTTCTGTGTCATGGCGGATGGCTTGGAGGGAGTGTGGGCCAGGGCAGTAATCCAGAGAGCAGTTATGAGAAGCAATGGCCATTGGTTGGAGAGAGGGTGACAGAAACAAAAGCTTCTAAAGAGACAATATAAAGAACCTGGAGAGGAGAATGAAAAGGAGGGAATAGCCCAGATGACCTCTGGGTTTCTGCTTCAGGCCAGAGGTGTCAGTCCCTGAGGTAAGAAATACAGACAGAAGAAAGGTAGGTTGATGGAAGAAGGCTTCCACTTTGGGTATGCTGTGTGAAGTGTCTATTGCCTATGGAACTGAATATTAACTCTCTCCTTGGCTTTTAACACTTTGTATTTAAGCTATAACTTACTTTGTAGCCTATTTCTCACCCAGTTTCCTGTTTTTACCCCCAAAGTCTACTGAACTTGACTATCTGCTATTCTTAGACAAAAATAATTTCTATCTCTGCCCCTTTGCACATGATTCTCTTCACCTGGCTCATTTTCCCCTCTTATCTCTCATGCCAGAAAACTATCTGTCCTTAAAGGCTCTTGTTGGAAAGTTTGTAATCAATTCAGCGCTTTTTCTGCCTTCTATATTACAGCTACTTGTGTCTCTCTCATCACCATACTGAAGCTTACTTGTCTTTCTTTTCTAAATGTCTAGGGTATTGTTTTGAACATAATGTGCTGAATAAATGTTTATTGGCTTAAGAGGAACTAAAATAAGACTGTATTTGGTTTTGGGAGAGTGCTGAACATTAATCAAAGGATATGCGCACATTTTCTGAGTTCTCAACACTTCAATCTTTCCCAGTGCTTTTGTTAACACAGTAAAGGTTGCTTTTGTAGGAAATATGGAACAGTTGAAATTATCAATGACTCAAAGAAGGGACCCCCCTCCCCAAGACTGGATGATATTTTAGCTTTAAAAGGTCACTTGTTTTTCTAATCCACAGATAATTTTATTTTTCTGCCCTTCTAATTTGTTTCATAATTGTGTTTGAAGTTTTTAGCCAATTAACATGGCTTAAATGTCTTATTTTTTATTTCACACATTAAAATTAACTCAAGGAAGCAGAAGTAGTCCTGAAGGCTCCTGTGAGCTACTGGCGAGTAAAGTTAAAATTCAATTCAAAGTATTTTAGCTAATAAACAAGAAAAGAGATAGCTGTTAACATGGCCTTTTTATATTACAATGATAGTAGAATTTAAAAAAATTAGACTGGGAAAGAACATGGTTATAGAATATAAATGTGATATCCAAGTTGGCATTAGAGAAGACTTTCTGCAATGCTAGCATCTGAGACACTAAAGCAGTTGTTGAACTTATGTAACAGAAGAAAGTAAATCACAACCTCATGCCATATTCTGCAGTGCTCCTACTGTGCCCTAGTGTTGATCTGTACAGTGGCAGTTGATGACTTTGTTCCCTAAGCGTATGAATTTAATTTTAAGTATCTTTGGAGCATCTAGAGAAGCAAACCTGAATTAGGAAAGATTAGAAAATCCTTTTATTTTTTGGTACTCTTAATTTCAATATATAAGTATTACACAGCATTAAAAATACACCTAGTTTTATGGAATTATACATGTGCAGAATTAATAAAAGTAGGGAATTTCTTCTTTTTATACTACTGGATGTCTCTAATTTAGGACCAACCACTTCAGTGGGGAGCTTATTCCTGTATCTAAGATAAAGGTGTGTCTGTTACCTAGCACGGATTTACAGACTGAGGAAAAGTGAGTAAACCCAAGTTCTTTAAGAGTTGCAAGCCTGAAGTCAAAGATTTTCCATATGTGATGGACCCCCTAAGCTCTGATAAAGAAGGAAAGGGGTCAGTTGTGCACAGTGACAAAAAGAAAGGTTAGCAGGATCTGGGCTTGGACCCTACCTGAGAATAGTCTTTGCCGTAAATCCCAACTAAAGTTTTTGTGTTCCTTATAAAAATATAACTCATTTTGTACTGAAAAAGAAACAGGAGTTATTTTACAGAATCATTTCAGGGCTAATTTTACTGTTTGCTGGTATTCCGTCAAGAGATAGGAGGCTTTTTCAAATAACATACACACCCCTCCAACCCTTGGTGAGAATCACTGGCTTTCAGGAGTCACAGTCACCGATGGGAGCTGGTTAGATCCCTGTAGGTGAGTTGGGCTTAAAAAAAAAAGTTTTAGCTTTCTTTTTCCCCACCACAAGCTTACCAAGCCATATTTACTTTCTGAAATAAAACGAATCTTTGAAAGCATCACTTGAATTTAGTTTAATCAATATTATATAACTATATGGGGTATTTAAAAAGAAGATTTAGGTATAAACTTAATAACTTGCAAGTTGCAATTGCATTTTTTTGATGGAAGCACAATGTTCTTATACAATGTTCTTTTCACATTTCTTACTCCTCTGGCATTTATTATAAAGCACAAGGCATTTCTGGAATGCTCATTTTAATTTTAAAGCTCAGGCTATTTTATGGAAAACATTTGGTGCTTTGAGGATCTGAACAATAATAGAGGAATGTTCAGTGGGAAGCGTCATGAATTGTGGCACTTAAAATACATTCTAAAGGAACATTTTAGACAATGATACTGTTCATTTTAAACAAAGATTTTAAATGAGTGCTGTAATTTGTTTTAATCTGGACAAGTATCTTTTAGCTTTTGATATATAAGTTAGACTGATAACAGTGAGATATTTGCCTTTAGCATGGGGGACCCCAAGAGCAAGATAATGGTAGACCTAGTAGAATACCTTTGACAAGGATCCCATGTGGGAATTGGACTAGAAAGTACACATTAAGTGCCAGCCAATGTTTGTGTCATGTTATGTATCTTGCAAAATGTTTCGCATTATTTAACCTTCACATAATCTTGTAAGATAATATAATGATCTCATATTCCAAGAAAGGTGATAAAGGCTTGCTATAAGGAACTCCTCTCTGGATTATGAACATGGGAATAAAGCAAATTAGAATAAAGAAGAGGGTCTACTGAATAAGGAAAGAAAATGGAAGGGCAGACAAATATTATTTTCGTCCACATATTTTCCCCATAGCTTGTAAATTCTTTCTCAGTTCCTGGCTAAGAACTGGGTCCAGATAGCCAAATAAACAAATATTTAATGTTTCATAAATAATAAGCAAGCAAAATCTCCAGGGGGCTGCAAAGCAGGAGGAGTTAACGTATAGTGAAAGATTTGGTGTGTGACTGTTAGCAGCGTTGGCCACTTGATAACAGGCAGGAGCCTAACTTTCATTAAGAGTTTCAGGTATTCTATTTTAAATATTGGATACGAGTTTTTTTTTCTTTTTCTACAATGGGGCTCTTCCAGCTTTGCTTATGAAAATATTACTAACCAAATCTTATTATTGGGATCCAAAGTTTAAATAAGAAATGGGTATTTTTCATAATGTCATTTTGTATATTTTTTTTTGCAAATACAGGTGCTTAATTCCTATCTCCAAACAATGCTATAATCATGAGTTTATTCTTATTTTAAACAAATTTCCAAAAGTAATGCATGTTCATTATTAACATATTCAGACAGTTCAAAATATACATATTGAAAAGTCCCTCTGTTCAACTACCCCATTCATTAAGCCATTTATATAATAAAAGTTTATTGAATAACTACTTTGTGCACTGTTCTGAGTTGCCAGAGAAAAGACACATTTCCTGTTTTCATGAAGCTTGCATTTTAGTGTTGAAAGGATGCAGTAAATGTACATGAACAGAAAAAAATCAGGCTCTATAAGTGTTTTGAAGAAATATAAAGTGTAGTGAGGGGACAGAGTGAGACAGTAGAGGTTGGGGTGGTCAGGAAAGGACCCTTCACAGGGGACTTTGAGCAGGACCTGATTGTTTGAGAGGCCAACTGAGTTAGGGGAGAGTGTAGGAGACAGGTAAAAGTTTATAAAAGGCTATAATGTAGGTCATAATAAGGGTTTGGGTTTTGTCCTCCTGACGTAACAACTGTTTTATATGCTTCACAGTGGTTCTGCACCTCCCTTCCATTAGTAATCTCTATTCTTAATGTAAATATAATACTTACTGTCTTAATTTTAATTATTTTTGCCTCCCTCTTAATACAGATTGCTAGCTACAAAGTGATATAAATAATAATTTGATATATATATCAAATGATATATATCTATATTGCATATAATGTATTTTGCATTGTTCTAATAGTAAAACTTGATGAAATTCAGTCTCTTCTTTCCTCCCTCCCTCCCTTCCTTCCATCTTTAGTTGGAAACATGGTAGCTGATAGTATTGTTCTTGGTGCCTTGACTTGACTTTTGGGATGTACCAGTAGCATTGGGAATGAATCATGTTATTATGAAATACTGCCTTTTGTTCTGGGCTATGATATCCCAGGACTGTGTTCCTCTCACAATTTGCCTAACGAATGACTTGTATTTTTCCAATTTTAGGTTACTACACTTGTAAATTGTCCCCAGAATCCTTCTAACAGGAAAAAAGGATGTTCAAAAAGAGCAAGAGTCCTTCTAGCTTCTGTGGAGGAAGCAACTTGGAATTTATTAGACAAGGGAGAGAAGATTGCTCAGGAAGCCACAGTTTTAAAGGAAGAGCTTACTGGGGCACTTGAGGAAGTTCGCAAAGAAAGTGAGTACTCGAGTCCTGATCAGGAGCAAATTGCTTGTCCTTAGGGTGTTAGTTATTGAATTAGGTTTGTGTTGACTTGAGTTTGTTAGTCTTTTGTAGAGTGCCGAGGAGCTAGCTAGCTGTGGAAGGCAGAGTGGCTCATTAGGCAGCTCCAAGACTCATAGCCCCATTCCTGGTTCTTTCCTTTGGTTGCTCAGTTCCCCTCATGCCATAGTTTATCCACAATAAACAAAGCAAAATGTACACTTTTTTTGTCATAAAATAAGAAGTGACTAATGAAGCTGAAGACATATTTTCTCATATACAAACCCATGATAGAGTTCCTTGTAAACAGTTGGAGTTGGAAGTTTCAGAACTACCTCAGAGGTGCATTTTTTAGTTTTTGGTTTTCTGAAGGTTTAGATGTTCTTTGTTTTGCATAAACTGCATACCTTGTGTTGCTGCTATGTTAATATTTCATAATGAAAGTGTTTATTTCACCTTTTAATGTCTTTACTTATTTATGATAAAGAACAATTTTATAATGAATGTAAGTCATTTGTAGGCTATTTTATAAAGAACTGCTCGATGTTCTTTAGTTAATGGCATGGTTTTATACATCAGCTTGCTGCAAGGAACTATTTTGAGAGGATAAGGAAACTTAAATATTCCTGTTCAGTTTTGTAAAAGAGAATTGAGGTGTTCAAATATTTCAATCTCCCCACCACCAACATAATTTTAAGAAAATGAGGAAATTTTTGCTAGTTAAATAATTTAAATGAATATACTAATCATAATAAAATTTAGGTCAAATACAGGGGAGTATTTTGTTATATATTTTATATAGGATTTATATGTTAAAAAGATTCTTTGGACAATATATAGAAAACATAATGCCTAAGGTAATTTGAAATAAATCCATCATTCCTCCCGGCTCCCTATTGCCTTTGATTCACTCTTTCTCCTGTCTTCTCTGCTGTGGTATCATCATCTACTTGGTCACCAACTCAGTTTAGCCTCTTTGTTTTCATTTCACCCTCTCTTCTAATTAGTCTCTGAGTTCGACAAAAATCTCCTTTTGTCTCCCAGATCTGTTTTCTCTTCTCCATTCCTAATGTTCCCTCCTGAATTCTGGTTTAGTGCATTAGTCTTGCACCATATCAAAGCCAAACATGTTTTTTAAAAATGAAAATATACTCATTTTACTTCCCTGATTAAAATTCTTTTAGTAACTTTTGCAGTTAAAGTTCAAACTTTTAAAACTAGCTCTACAGCGTTTCATGATTTGGCTTCTGCCATTCTCTCCCTTCTCCTTTCTTGATTCTGTCCCCTTCTTAAACTTTCCTCCGAGTAAGAACTCAGTATCTTGAATAGCCCATGTTGCTCTATGCCTCTGTGCCGGTTACCAGTGATTACTTTCGCCCGGATTGCCTTTCTCATTCAGCCAATTCTTACTCACATAGCAAAACTTAGCCCAGGTCATCTTTCACAGGAAGGGTTTACTGACCCCTGGATGCTGATTTAGGTGTCTCTCTTCTATGTCCCCACAGATTCTGAGCATCTCTCTTTCATAGGACTTATCACCCCATACACCAAACATTGATTTACTTGTTCAATAAATCTAGACTCTTAACTTCTTGAAGGTGGCAAGGGCCAGGTCTATTTGATTAGCAATGCCTGACACATAAGAGATACCTGATAAACATTTGTTAAATTAAAAAAAAAATCTAAGCATCATTTTGTCCTTTTATATTAAAAAAATTTATAATGGTTTTATCTTTGTTTTTACAACAAATTATGTCTTTTGGCTTCTCTCCTGAGTCATTGGAAGGAATATGAAGGTACTGTTTCTCTTAGAAAATGTGATTTGACAACATAGCTTCCATAAATCACATGGTAATAAATATGTAACACATTGGTCATTCTTAGAAGGGAACAATAATTGTAATACTTGTCAAGAAACGGTATTTGCTTTTTTTTTGAAAAAAATAATCAACACTTTTAGCTCAATATAAGTATTATTTTAAAGAAAAATTCTCAAAGAGAAGTCGGTTTGGATTCTTCACTGTGTTGTATTATAATGTGTGAAATACATGTATGTGGCATATTTTGTATATACAACACGTACATTTGGTTAAAGATCACCAAGTACTTTATACTCTGAATCTTTTTGACAAACTTCCCAATTGAACTACTGCCACTCGAGTATAGGAGGAAAGCAGTGAAATGGCAAATGGTTCTGGAATTTGGGGAATGGCCAATGCTTATCCTGTGGATAGCAGAGATAGTGACAATGAGAGCACTGTTGCCAAAAACTTGGAAGGAATTTTAGCTCAGTGGTGGAGCTGAAGTATCAGAGAATGAGTTGTGATCCTAGAAACATACTGCTTTCATTCTTTTTTTAAAAAAGGGCTTTGTCTATGGCAAAATGTGAAAGTATAATAAAGAGAAAATGATAAGTTTAAAGTATTTGAAAAAGTGAAAAAATACTTCAAGTAGAGGATATTTTAATTTATATTTTTATTGACTTATTTTCAAGAATTTTGAGACTAATTTAGAAAATTTCTTCTAATGAAAAGTGTAATTTATATAGCCTTACTATAGGATTCTCCTTTATTCTGTTTTACTGCCTTTAGTGGCTTTAGTTAGAGACTCGAAGTGATAAATAAAGTGGGCATTTGGTAACCTAAAAAACATACTTGTGGAAGATAGTATATAATAGTATTAGGGGAGGATGGTGAAAGGAAAGGTACAACTGGAGAGATCCAGAAAAGGCGGTTCACGTAGTGATTATTTGTGGAAACTCATCATCTTACAGTTTACCTCTGTACTTATATCTGTACAATGGCAAAGTATTAAATCCAGTATTTTATTTAATTCACATAACAGTTACCTAGGAACTAGCTAAGAATTGTTTATAATGTCTAGATTACATGTTTTGCCTGTGGCATAGTTACTACAGTTGTGTAGTCTCTGGTCCTGTACAATAGACATTTTTCCTAAGTCACAAAATTGGTTGTAGAGTATTTGTTTTTTTTTTTTTGTGGTTTATTGAGAATAACATATATGCAAAAAAGAGCATATGTTATCATGAACAACTCAATTCATTTTCACTGTGAACACACTAATGTAACCTCCACCCAGATCAAGAACATTACTGGAACCCTAGAAGCACCCTCTGTGCCTCCGACCAGTTACTACTCCCTCACCTCAAAGGTAACCATTATCCTGCTTATGATGTAGGTTAGTTTTTGTGCCTCTTTTAGGATTTCATATAGGTGAAATCATACAGCATGTAGTCTCAAGTCTGGCTTCTTTTGCACAATGTTATGTTTGTAAGATCTTACCATGTAGTGGTTCATTTGTTTTCATTGATGAATACATCATAATTACTTACCCGCTTTACTGTTGATGGATATTTGAGTTGTTTCTAGTTTTTGGCTTTAATGTTCATATTGGTACATTACTTTTGGTGCATGAATGTAGATGTTCCTTTTGGGTTTATACCTAGGAATGAAATTGCTGGGTCATAAGGTATGAACTCAGCTTTAATAGATATTACCAAACAATTTTCCAGAGTGGATTTTCCAGTTGACAATCCATTAGTATGTATTAGAATTCCAGTTGTTCTACATTTTACTAACTTGGTGTTAACAAGTGTCAGTATTTTTAATTTAGATGTGTAGTGGTATCCCATTATAGTTTTAATTTGTTCTTGATATGATTCATTTGTTAGTTGTAGATATTAAAATATCTTCTCATTTTCATTATTTTAAGCATTTTTGATATTCAGAAGTAATTTTCATAAATTCCAGTTAATCATTTTACTCTTTTATGGGTAGATATTTTTCTGTTTTGTTGAAAACATTTTTTTGTCTATTGCAAAGTCAGGAAGATATCCTCTTATGTTGTCATCTAGAGGCGTTATTGTTTTACCTTTACAGTCTATCTGGAAATAAATTTTTATGAATGGTGTGAATTAGGGGTCATGATTCATTTTTTTTTCTTATGGGAATTCAATTGATCCAGTATTATTTAGATGCATATGAAAGTTTAATTGTTTCAGTACCATTTATTGAAAAGAAAATACACAACTCCATTCTCTTGCGGTTGAATCACTTTTGCACCTTTGTTGAAAATCAGTTGACTGTATCTGTGTGAATCTACTTTGTTTTTCTTTGCGGGGGAAGGCAATTCGGTTTACTTATTTATATATCTTTTTTAGTGAAGGTGCTCAGGATTGAAACTAGAACCTCTTGCATGCTAAGCATGCACTCTACCACTGAACTATACCTTTCCCCTCTGTGTGAGTCTACTTTGGAATGCTCTTCTGTTCCATTGATTCACATGTCTGTCCTTCTAGCAATAACACATTGTCTTGATTACTATATATCATAGCAAGTAATGAAATAAAAATAATTTTGATTTGGTTATTCTAGGTCCCTTGCATTTCCATAAAATTTTTGGAATCAGCTTCTCAATTTTTATAAAAAAGCCTGCTGGGACTTTGGGATTAAATTGGATCTATAGCTCAATTTTTGCTGAACTGACAGTCTTCTGATTAAAAAATGTGTAATTTATTTTTTTGATGATATTGTAAAGGGCACTTTAAAACATTTTAATTTTATGAGACTGATGTGCTGCCTAGTGCGCTAAGGAGGCAGGTAAAACATTTTAATTTTAAATCTATCTTCAAATTCATGACAGTTTTCCCCTACCTTCTTCAGTCTATTTTTAAGTCCATCCATAAACTTTTCTTTTTAGTTATTATACATTTTTATTTCTTTAATTTTCATTTGTTTTTTAAAAGTTTGTATTTCTATGGAAATAGAAATAGAAATAGAAATAGTTTTTATTTCTTTAATTTCTTTCCAAATTCTGGTTCTCTGCTGAAATTTCCATCTTGCCATTAATTTTTTTTGACCATCTCAATCAATTACAGTTAATTTCTGTATCTGAAATGTTCAATATGCGGCTCTCCTGTAGGTTTGTTTCTATTGTCTGTTTTTTCTTTTGGTTTT